GGTAAGCCTATTTATAATGTGCAGTTTCTCTTTCCCGTTCTATTTAATTTTATTAAAAATCATAGGTAATACTATGTGAATTTAATTGTAATTTATTATTTAATCGCGATATTCACATTTCAATAGGCAGAACAATACATCATACATATTTCCTCTTGTATTAAACTAGGATATTATTATGAGTGATGAATTAAGAAAAATCAATTATACAATGCCAAATTTTATCGTGAACAGCGCAGACTTTAATTTCAACGGTAGATTTTATTAGCAAACAATGGGCTTTGATTAGAGTTTGTTTGGCGACTTATATTTTTCGTGATAGATACGCGGCCAATTTAAGATAAAACGTTTGATGTAAACAATAGGATACGTTGCATGAGCCCCATTCGGACACTTTCTTCAGACTTCCAATTTCCTTCCAATGAATAATTTTAATCTTCTAGAACAATTTTGTTATCAGTGTTATTACTTCTAAGAATTTTTACGTTCTAAGCCTCTATAGCATAAGTTTTATAGTGACTTTCATTTTGTGTGAAAGTGCCCGAGGAAGACGACTAGAGGGTTGATTTCACTAGAGAGCGAAGGCTGATTCTGTAATAGATTGATTTTACTACGACCTTTAGTCGTAGTCTACGAGATATCAACTCTCGATTCGGGTGAAAAATAGCTGCTATTTGTCATTTATATGACAAAGGTTGTCGAGCAAAAACAGAAATTAATATAAGACCATTTGTGTTCATACGGCAAATCAGGCGTTCTCATCCGGGCTTGATTACAATTTTACCCTCGATGGAATACAAGACCGGTTCGTGCGAATCGTGGCAATATGTTAATATTCGGATATACGGCCTAGTTACTGCTTTTTGAAATGGAAAGTGTGACTTTGTTGGTAAACTTGGTCTCGTAATTTATATCTATAGTAGGCATACTTCCGATATAACGAACCTACATTTTCCTCTGTATTCAAGAATAATATTGAATAATATTCATGACTATCAGTATATCGTTTATATGAACTAGAATTACAGAAATATAAAGGAGAGCTTTGTTTAGATTAATCACTCAGTAATTTCAAATTCCTGTACATTTAGTTTCAGCTGACAGGTCGAATGTAAGAGGGCAGTTAATTTGACCTAACAGAGAGAAAAAAATGAAATTCTCATTGTGGCGGGATGATTGAGCTTTGCAAATAAGTTTTGGTAGCACAAGGCTTAAACCCTTTTCATCCATGTAGTCACCTTATTCTCCATAAAAGTGTGTTTAAGGCCAAATTTTTTTCACTATTTTAGTACGGATGAATATAAACAGTTTCGTCATCATTTTAAATATCTTCTACAATTTATTTTAGATTTAATGTCCTTTTTTTTATTACATTGTAATGAATCACATACTGGTCAAATATAATTATGTGTATGAGGTTAACTTAGAATACTTATACCATAGGATAAATAATAGAACTTTATCAAACGTTGGCTTACTACAGTGAGATATATTCCGAATATATTAAGGGTTCATATATTCAGTTAGGCATATTTAGAAGATATTAGCTTCGAGT